CTTCGTTACGTTAAAGTAACATTTAGTTGTCCCACAATTATTGCAGTAGTTTTAATTTTTGGGTCTACATTTATTATTCCCGTTTCTTTCGTGACTTTGGGTTAAACGCTACATTTCCTTATTCTGATTGGCCAGTGCCCGTCACTATAAAAGCATGTTCCGTTCATGCTTGGGGTTCCGTGATCCTAATTTTAAGGGCATACACGATTCGCTCTTGCTTTCACGGTTGCTTATTAGCCCGTTGCATTTGTTTTCCTTCTATTGTTTGGCTCAAGTGTACTTTAGTAGCTTCCCTTCATTTCGTCTTCAAAACCAAATAAGCAGCTGTGATTTCATGTATACAAGTCTCTTTCTGGCTCGTCTTTGGAATTCTTCTTGCGGTCATGGGGTGAAGGCATCAGCGGCCACACAACATGTTTCATTGTTGCTAAGACATCCCATAGCACATTCGATTTAAACCATTCTAGCTGCACCCCAACAGTCAGCTCACGATACTTCAACACCCGGTATTCCAGCTTTCTGAGTGCAACTCTCGTCGTCAGTACACGAATTCACCACTCGCTGGTCATCTGCAAATCCGCTGACACCGTACATCAGATGTAGCAAACTATCGAGGAGGTTTCCAAAACATTTCCATTATCATTGATTTGTGGGCTGCTCATGGTCGACAATCCTGGTGACGCCTGAAAAAGGACAGACAGTCTTACTTTATGGTGTGTTCGAAATTGGCCAATGTCTGTGTGACTCGTGGTCATGCGTTCCAACTCAACTTTGGTGTTTTCAGCTAACGCGTATTGGTCAGCAAACAACAACACCCGGATGGGTGTCTCACGCACTCTGGCCTTCGCCCCGACACTATGGATATTCAGCAACCCACTATCAACTCAGTGGTCGAGACAGACAGCAAAATCACAAGCATTGAAAACACAGCATGATTGTAAACTAAGCATCAAACAGTGTGGGCTAAGACACAGCCTCAGTTCACACCAGCGACAACATAAACGTCATCTGAGGTATGTTCATACAGCTGCACCGTCGTCCGCAAACCCCTGTGAAGGCATTCTATTTACCATCCTAGCGCACACTGCACCAGCCACAGTGCCTAGCGATTCCCCCTGTCCGATACCATGAGGAAGTTGACAAATAGCTGATAACTGTCACAGGATTTCTCATGTCGCTAACAAGCTTGGACGACCATATCCATTGTGACACAACCCGAGAGGAATCCGTCATGCTCTTCATCCACATTTGATTCAAAGGCTTGATTGATCTGGCAGTTGCGCAGGATCGGCGTAGTCATCTTCCAGACGAAACTCGGCAATTTGACGACGCGACAACTATTCACATATTGCTTGTTTCCTCCGCCCTTGTACAGTGATACTACAAGAGCTTATTTCGACTTTGGTGGCACGCGGTCCATAGGCTAAAAGTTTTCCACCAAATGGCGCAGCAAATATACCATTGATGGTCGCTGATTTTAGAACCTCTGTTAGTACCCAATCGGCATCGAGGCACTCACGGTTTCGCAACCGAACAAGTGGTTTCTGAGTTTCAAGTAATTTTTGGGTACCGGTAAGACTGTCGTTCACGTCTCATGATTACATCCCTTTAAACATATAAAACATATCTCCAAATGGTCGTTCAATAGACAGACGAAGGTACTGCGTCATATCTGTATGATGCCTACAGAAGTCTGCAGGCAGTACCCCAAACGCCATCTACCAGCGTCCTCACCAGATACAAGGTGAGTTCGCACACTAGCTGCGGCATTTGGCGCAACATTCCGTCTGCTCTGTCTTATCCGCCTGCTAAGTAAAATTGATGCAGCGCAGCTCTAGAGTTAATCGCCGACGTACTTTTCGAAGCTTAATGCTCCTCATCTAGTCGCTGGGATATCCAGTATGCGAAGTAAAAGTTTCATCATTCGCTGATATCAGTATATCAACGGTAGCTCCGTTTTCAACAAACCATTAGGTACGTAATTTTTTCCCCCGATCGTCTGGATGTTAGGGACATGCCTGGGTGGTAATGTTGAGTTAACGCATACTTTTCCATGTCCCGCACTTTTCTGCTCCGTTGAAGGTGTTCCGCTTTTCCCAATTGCATTCAGACCGTTAAATTAATCGCTAGTTAAACGGTCACTTCCTCGACGGTGCTAGGCACACTCGAACTGAATGGTCTGAACAACTAACACAGCGAGATGGCATAAAACAGGTACTGGTTCACGTTTTATACAAGGGATCCTAACGGTTTTTTAAGTGATCAGCAGGTTAATAATAGTTGAACAATCGATAACCTGGGAACAATAACAAACGCAGATTTAAACAACTGTTTCAGTAAGGTAACACGGCCATATTGCTACTAAGCACATCCCGCGCCATGTGTTAGGTAACGGGCCAAATGACAGCTACAACTCGAAGCTCGGGCGTTTAATCGGATACATGTGTAAATATCACACCTTGTTACACAGACCATCTGTGTTTCCAATTACAGAGGAGTTTCTTCCAAATTTCAAATGGGGGAAGAAAGGCTAGATCAGCTAGTGAAAGTTACTCTGCCTTACAAGCCACTAAATAATTACTGGAAGTAAACAAGAATGTAGGCTGAATTCTGAAGGATAAGTAGAGTAAACAAACTGGCATTAGCGAGGTACGTTAGATCAGCATGAATTTCATGTCAACAGTGGAATAGCCCAGAAACACCACACCAAAATTTGCTGCTTATCAACTCGAGTTAAATTTGTCAAACAGTTTTTGTACCTCGCCAGTAAAGTATCAACAAATAAATTCGGCCAACTGAAATACGGCGTCCACAAACGGTTCTCAGCTCGGCAAACAGTCGACCGGCGTGTAGAAACTTGACCTAGCCACAATATAGTGGGCCTCACCAGAGTTTTACAGCAAGGTTGTTAGAATACCGGAGCTTTGTTTCCCGTTAGTCTCATCAGATGGGACCTGTGTAATACAGGTGCTAGTGTGCAAGCGCCAGAACGCTAACAGCCAATTTTACGGTTAATGTACACACACTAAAGTGGTTTATGCCACCCTAAATTGTGGCGCACCCTGTCTGACAGACTGATTTCTTGCCGACTCCAATGATTATTGAGGCTTGCATGGTGTCATGGAAGCCACAGACAGCGCGGCTGCCTCATCCGTCACATGACCTTTACTAAATTTGTAAAAACCTAGACTGTTATTTGAAGGAGCTGCCAGGTGATAGTGTGAACCGGCGGTTAATCAATCCAGTTCAGTCGCAGTACTCACGACTCAAATTTATGGAGTGTACGCATGAATGTGTCACATATAATACTAACCAGTCTAATTGTTATTCGGTAGGAAACTCAGCAGACTTCATTTGTTACACATGGCTTCCAATATAGAAACACCAAGCCCCATTCACCTCCCTAGGTTTAGCTTCACAGTTTGTGTCATATTCGAACGAATAAATGTGTGCGCAACTGAAAGTAATAAACCCTCCCACACATTTTAGACACTGTTTCATCGAAGCAGGTTTGAGTGTGCTAATTCGCACTCTATGATTGTCAGATGTTATCCGCTGTTTTGAAATTTGAGTCAATGTCCTGCTTTCGGGTAAAGTTCATTCTGCCATGGAATAGCTTTTTCCTCACTTCAATGGAACAGCTAGTTTAGCACACATAGTTTAGAAAGCGCATGGATAGCCAACGTGCCGTGTAAGCACATTTGCAACGGTCAACTCAGCCAACTGCTACATCCACTCTCAGAATCCACCCACAATGACGTGCGCATCGACGGTAGCAACATCAGTCACCAGGATGCACCGACGCTGTCCAGATCTCATACACTAGTGTATATCTCACAATCTCATGTGGACCTTATTTCTCTTCTTTTATTTCATCTTAAATTTATGACCAGAATATCATATCTCAGTGAACTGAGATGGAACCTTTCTTGGATTGACCACAAAACACTGCGGGTTAAAAATGACGAGCTCATCACACTGTCCGTATTGTCACGTTAGTGTATAAAGTAAATGTCGATGCACAACACCGCCACAGATATCAGGTTACTCGCTGGAACCTTGCCTTGAGGAGCGTGTCCCAGTTGAACTTTCGAGTGTACCGGAAGCGGACGCGAGAATATTGAGAGGAACAAAATGATGCGTAAATACTTTGCCACTACTCGCTCTCTCATGTTCTGGTGTGCTCAACTACCTTCTGGTGTTTACACCTGGTTGTCTGTTCCTTCAAGTCAATCAAGTTTTTCGCACTTTTGAATTCGTGCTGTTTCGATACGTCAGTTGGCGAAAGTCTTGGTGATCTTGAACTAATTTTGAGTGCAGTGATTCAAACAGCTGGGTGCGGAACACCTTGGGCGTTGTGCTGATGGTAACATTTAGATGCGTTTCCTGTTGATTCCCCTAAGGAAGCGCGGTAAATCGCTTTCCCAACTGTATCAGACGACAACCGGTGTCACCATGGTGGACACAGTAAACCCGTGGTATTTGTGCGCCAATCAGCTCACAGTCCACTTTCCCTCGGTCACTTTAGTGGTCGCTGCGGTTGTAGTTCGTTTATCATCGCTGCAGACGCACACACGCACAAACATATGTGCACACAAACAATCCCTATTTCTCGGTGTAAGCGGACACATCAGCAGAGACACGGCATGTAACGCGGTCTCTCTACCCCCATATCGTCTCAACCTTGCGGAGATTAACCACCACCAGAAGTCACTGCCGATGGAAGCATGCGGTCTGGGGTGGTGGAGTGGACGGTGTGTGTCGACAAACTAACTACGAGACCGCGTAGGATTCACCGTGGCTCAGTTGACGTTTTGATCAACCACACCTAACAGCGAATACCTTGAGCTCGCGTGAGGAATATCTCACCAACGCCCATATTCCGTGAAGCTAATTCAGCTACGATCACCACTCGCGGATTGTGTCACAAATGAGGTAAAACTGTCAAGTTGTGCCTACAGAAGCTCGAGCTGTCATCGTGAGTTAAAAGCAACCAAGCCATGTCAAACATATTGCTGGCCGAGTACACGTTGAAGCGTGCACTTCGTGAAAACTCCGCAGATCTGGTGCTCACCAGCTGCCCGCACGTATTGTGCACTTCGCTACCGAAACACTGGAGATCCAATAAATCTCTGCCGAACCAGTTTCGTGTGGTCTGTTTATTGGATGTGCCTGATGGAACTCGCGTCTCAGTCACTGCATGGAATGAGGAACATCCGATTGCGGAACTGAAAAATCACATCACAGTCATGCATGCAAACGAAGGCCGATTCAGTGACCTCCGATTCCTGGGACGGAGTGGTCGGGGTAAGTGAAACAATGTCTCGCATTCTGATAGGAGTGGTCAGTCATAACAAAGGCGTACATTTTGTTTTGTTCTGGCATTAGACATTTGTCGTTTAAATAACAGGGTAGCTGGCTTTATCTAATCATGCTGGAAAATTCTAGAAGACACGGTTGCCCTTAAGTGTGAATTGTCTCATAAGAGGAGTTTGCAATTTCTCAGATTTACTTTAAATTAAAAACCAAGAAATATGGGTGTTAGCTGCACTTTTTCAAACCCATTAATTTGGTGGTTACCAGTGAGGTTTGCTAGATTAGCTGCAGCTTTAGACTGCTAATATCCATAGTTTGGAAGAAGTAGGTGATCCACGCCATTAGTTAACACAGTGGAATGCATTTCTTGTGAAATGAAGTTGGGTCCCCTGCGATGACATTCATTTCAGTTAAGCGGGTTAGTATACAACCTTTGAAATTCTGAGCGCAAAAGTTAGCACGGTCTTCATTTGAATGTGTCCACTGCCATTATTTTAAATTTTAATGATCGCGACTAGTTCACTCTTCCCCCGATCGGGAGGACACGGCTTCACACATATGAACAACTAAGTCCATATGACGAAAACATAACCGTGCTTATGGGTGAGATATAACATATTTCCAGGATTCAAACTGCACTATACGAAACACTTTAACGATTATACATAGATTACAGAGTTTAGCTGAGTAGACATAAAGAAATAACTAAGTAAATTTGCATATTTACCGACAAACGGTACACGGCCCCTATCCACAGAAGTAACGCTAGTATGCGTCCCTCGTGAAAACAAATGGGCCCATGTGGCTATCGAATGGTCCGCAGTTTGACATTCATCTTCCAGCGGTATTTGGGAGTGAAGACATAAGAAGACATAAGAATTATACTACCACACCACGCTTAGCCATCTGGTCGCAGACGCTTCGTCACCAGTTCCCTCATCTTTAATTTACTGTGTATCATGTAATCATATTGGTTAGATCGAAAACTTGTGAATGACGAGCAAGTGAGCTTTGAAATTGGCCCCCCGATTTAAGCCTCTTCGTTGCTCGAATGTTACCCGTTTTTGTTTCAATTTGTGGCTTCTACTCCCCATCATATCTTTCTTTCGCGGTTGCTAGTATACAGGACAGTCAATGTACAGATTTATTGAGAACCGTGTTTCCAGCAATTCTCTTCCCCATTTTTGTTTCAAAAGGCCTCAGAAGCTCCATTTCTTTCCCGAGATTGTTGTGCCTTTTCTCTCTGGACGTGCGTTGAAACCACTGATGATGCTTAATGGTTTCAGCAGCATGTAAATTGTTCTTCGAGAACTTTCTCACAGTTTTGTACGGTACCCTGCAGAACCTCATTTCGACGTTCGTGGGCTTTCAATTTCCTTTCTATTCAGACGGTGTTTCTTCAGAACGGCGATTGATGTGTGAGTTAACATCAGATGATACAGCTTAAAGAGTCTGGCGGACATCTCTGATGTTTTCCTCATGTACGGCAAATTGATGCTTTTTGTCGCTGTTAGTTATGCGTGGTATTCACATTCCCACAACCTAGGGACTTCGAATGATACTGCCTTGCTATGTGCTGCTCATGGGGCGGCATAAAACGTGTTAGGACTCTGCTTTGCAGAGTGGTCTCACTAGCCCTTGTGTCGTTAGCCGCCGGCTGCTTCTGCGCATCATAACAAAAATTTCGTCGACATATTAAACCGATAGATTCGGGATGCGAATTGGGAGTGGGTTCTTTACCGGTTTCTCCATGAAATTTCCGCAGCGAGGCAATCTGGAGGGGGTCAAATTCTGGCCCTTTTACCTTCTCATAGTATATCACATTGAATGTGAATTAGGTAGTGAGAACTTAGTGGAGTAGATTGCATAAGTTTTCCGTCGTCAGTTCATTCGTGCTTCGTCCATCTTAATAAAGGGCTGTCTAATTTCGTCCTTCACCAAATTTAAAGTGAACTAGATGAAAAGAGAGATAAGGTTGAAGGATGTTAGTATTTATTCATCGTCTTTTCTTATGCATTTTTAGGTTTCCATACATAATTGCCATACATAGTTGTTAGAATATTGCGATTCTATGGCTTCTTTTATCGAAAACTGAATGCATAGGCAAAACAGCGGCCATTGGTCACCGATGGAGTACTGCACCCATCTGTAGGAATTACAATGGGGCACTGTCATCGCACACGAACTGATGTTTAGTGACGGAAGCCCTAATGTTACACTGCAACGCATATCAAACTTTAGTTAGGTAATATTGTTCGTATGCCTGTTGACAGCTTAGTTCATTGTGCATTAGCTGGAGTGATTTGATCTATTTGGAGGAGAAGGTGGGGTATAGATCGGACGACATGGCAATGCACAAGAAAAGATTGACTGAGATGCATCGTATGGTCGGTGTTTGCTATCTACGTGGATGAGTGCGTCGGGATCACCCACATCAATAATCGTGGAAGCTAATCGAGGTAGTGCAGTCGCGGAGTTTTGATGTTTCCTCCGTTTGTTACCTCCATTTGGGAACATTCCAACCTGTCTGCTTAACTTTCTCATCTGTCAATTTATCGATTGCTATTCTTTTATGCTGTGATGTTTGACTGAGCTGCACCGAGCTGCATCTCCATTCTTTTGAATAGGACCCAAAACCCATTTACCTGGTGTGTGTGAGATATATATTTTGAATGGATAGGTCGGAAACGGTTGATGACCACTCGACCAGTAAACTACATGCACGTTATCCTAGCAAAATCACGAAAGAAGCAGATCGATTTATAAACTGGCTTGACCATGTGGTGTCTTGTGATTTGCCTACCTAATCGACCGACGGTTTAGTTATAGATCCCCTTCCTAAAAGAGCATCACGGATTCGTCCCTTTAGGGTTACACAAATCAGACCTGGGTGTGCCCACATTCACTCGCATAAACGTTAAAAATTAATTGAGTCTTTTGTTACTCGAAGGAGTGAGTGCCTGTTCCTGTATAGGGAGAGATCAACGATCATCGTTGCTTGCGTCTTTGAGTCGCTATACGTTGCTTCACGTGGGCATAAAGAGAAGGGTTCAGACCGCTGGAAGCGCGTTGGATCAACTTACTGTGAGCCATCAAAATTAAGAAATTTCCTTAATGTGATCGGATAGACTACGGTGATGTACTACCACTGTAAACATTTGCCGACTTGTACATTTAATTCCTCAAATTTTAGAAACGTAGACACCATGATCATCGCAAAAGATTCACATGTGGTGTTAGTGCACTATTCGTAGACAGCAAAATGACAAAACACTCATAACTGTTCAAATATTTCGACTTGTACATCCAAGACAGCTGTCCCACTTCCTGCAATAATGATAGAGACAATTTTATGCCTAAAAATTGTACCAGGCTCTGGAACTATGTGCTACCTAACGATGCGCACTTTACGCTCCACACACTTCTGGTATGGTACTCCGTGAAAACCAGAAAACTTTTGATACATATCGCTAAAAATAGCAGACTTCAATTGTGTGCTTGACTTCACTGTCATGACTGCGTTTATTTAGTCACAGTAGTGTGCGGGCAGAGTGGGGAAAGCACCGGCTTCGACTCCCACCCGATGCGTTGGGAATCGTAATTAATGACACCACCATTCTGTCTAACATGATCCATACGAGTGTACTGCTTAATAGCGATCTATAGGGAATACAATGAACATATGCTTTCGCAGGTGTTGGGGCTTATCCAGTCAGCTGGTATTGACAAAAGCGTCAGCTGTGCCACGATTTTATCAGCGATGTAAAGCCCAGCACATTGACGCAATTTACAGGCTCTAGATCGGGATGGCCAAAGCGAATCAGATTGGTCGGTCCCTAATATCAACTTGGAGCCCCAACCACGAAGTAGAAACACTCGCCATCTTTATGTAGACAAACACCAGCAACTCCAAAAGTACAATTTCATTGAAAAAATTTAGGGTCGGGTGTTTGGGGATCGGTTAATTCTCAGACGGTTACATCCAGGCTCGCTGTAAGTAGACATCAAAGCTTGCGTTTTCCTCGGTTACAGAATAAAAAATTCCATACTCTTAATACTTTTTGATTGTGTAGATCTATACACATATGCCGAACTGTAATTAGGCAACGTGTGCACGTGTACAGGTGGAACTGGGCATACGTACCAATGGTTGATACCTGAAGTCAAACATACCGATTGCTGGTTGGGGTGTGTTTGCACCTTGACAGGTTGAAGAAGAAACCAGAATCCACCTTATCGTAATTTAAACAATGTAAAAATTATCTTTTACCGATAAACTAGCTATAGTTTAACAGGTCACGTAAAATAGTCATGGTGAATATTACAAATATACAAACATGCGCGTGCATATCGGTGAACTCGCCACGGTTTACGTATTGTAAACTGTTAGTCTTTAAGGAACGACGACAAACGAACGTTGATAAAACTTCTGCAGCCTCCTGGCGAACACATGCAGAAGGTGAAACACGTGGCATGTGCTCTGGGGATTGACCGTCAGTGACATCTCTAACAGACACACGCTTTTAGCCATGGGTAATTAGCCACGTGAGACTTTGCAGGGCAATGTGTGCACGGTCAACTCGGAGTTTGATCACTACTATAGTGGGGGAGCACATATTACAGATTGGCTATAAAATTGAAGACTGGTAGCGCAGGTTGTTCAGATAACTGGTGAACTGTTGGCTGAGCTTGCAATTTTGTTGCAAGAGTTTCATCACCGATCGAGGTGACATCATCAGTGCGTAGTTGACTGGCGTGCAATAGCGTGGAGTAGTGTAGGGGAGCCTCGGCACTCTCACCGAGGCTCCTCTACGCTACTCCACGCTATTGCACGCCAGTCAACTACGCACTGATGAAGTCACCTCGATTGTCCACTGAGGATGATGAGCATCCGTAGTCTTTGTTTACATGGCATATTATACAGATCTATGACGTTCATGTTTGTCCGGCGTTGGCGGGCTGTCCAAGGCAGCGAATACTCCCCTCAGTCA